GACCCGCTGACATGTTTCGCATGTCTTAACGTACCGGGCGACCCACTTGTACATGTGGGTCCACCAGAAGGATTGAGAGACCGACATAAAGGTCTTCTCGCGGCCCAAGTGGCCGCTGGAGGGAGCGTCATGCGCCTCCGCGAGGATATCGAACTTCAGATCCTCGTCGTTGGGTACGACCACCCGCGGAGGATCCGTGGGCTCCACCCGGTAATAGCGGAGGCCCTCCTTCAACTCATATCGGTGGAGCCGTGAGCGCTGTCGCGACGAGAGCCAGTCGGACTTCGCGCTCGTTCCGGCCATAAGGAACTTGACGATAGGCGCGACAGCCTCATCGTCCCGATACGCCATGCGTATCCGATCATATAGATCCGTTGTCACCCGCGTGATGTGGGCCAACTCATAGTCAGGACGCCGAGAGAGGGCGTCCGCAAGCACGTTGAGCTTGCCCGGCTTGTATTCGACGCAGAAGTTGTATTCCGCGAGGAAGGACAGCCACCTCGCCATCCTTTGGGAGAGGTGAGGCGAGTTAGTCGCCGTCCTCAAGGACGCGTGGTCTGTGTCGATCACAAAGGGCCTAGAGCCCAGAAGGTGAACACGGAACTTCACAAGGGCATATTTTATTGCCAGGAGATCCTTGGCATGGACAGGGTAGTTCCGCTCGGCGGCTTTGAGCTGCCTGGACTGGAGCGAGATGACTCGTTCGTGTCCAGCCGTGTCGGCCTGCAGCAATGCACATCCGATGGCATAATCGGAGGCATCGCAGACGACGCTAAACGGCTTCGTCTCGTCCGGCAGGGCCAGGACAGGGGCCTCTTGGAGACTGGCCTTGATGCTGTCAAAAGCATCCTGGTGCTCTTGCTCCCAGCGCCAGTCGACGTCCTTCTGAAGGAGGCTCGACAAGGGCTTAGCGAAGCCCGCGTACCCAGCGCTGTACTTGTGAAGGTAGTTGGCCAAGCCCAACCACTTTCGAAGATCCTTCTGGGATCGGGGCGTCGGCCATGCTGCTATGACCTTGACCTTGTCTGGGTCAGCCCGAACGCCCACGTTGCTGACGAAGCAACCGAGAACTTTAATCACTGGTGACGCGAAAACGCACTTGTCGATGTTAGCGTAGAGCTTGTTCGCTCGCATTACGTCCAACACTCGACGGAGGTGTCCTAGATGCACCTCCATGGCCGTCTTGCCTCCCTCGGCACGGCTATGGACGAATATGTCGTCGAAGTACGTCTGTACGAAGGTACGCAAAGGGCGGAACAATTGCGTCACCAGGCGATTGAACGTCGCCGGGGCGTTAGACAAGCCCTGCGGCATGACGAGCCACTCCCAAAGCATGCCGCTTGGAGTGCTTACCGCCGTGAGCGGGATGTCGCTCTCTCGCATCAGGATTTGGTAGTATCCGTCTACCAAATCCAGCGCACTGTACAGTACGCTCCCGGCCATGTTGTTCAACAACACATCCTTTCGTGGGATTGGTGTTTGGGCCGGCACCGTTGCGTTGTTCAGCTTGTTATAAGCGTGAACCAGACGCCACTTTCCGTTCGGCTTCCGAACGCAGAAAGTCGGCGTCGAGTGCGGGGATTTCGACTCCCGCACCATGCCTGCCTTCGCTTTCGCGGCGAAGAAGAAATCAATGATCTCGCACTGTTCGCGCGGGAGAGGCCATTGCCTCGTGACACAATACTTTGTGCCGGGCACGAGATCAATCTCGTGCCGTACGCCTCGATCCGGTGGGAGTTGGGTCGGTGGGTGTTTGTTCACCACGTCCGCATACTCCGTCACCAAAGGATACACCGGATCCTTGGGGTTCTTAAGGATCTCAGAACCCAAGCGCGTCTGACGCTGCTTGTTCAGGTCTTCCAGGACGTTCTCGTCCAAGACAGAGGAGGAGTTCAGCTCCTCCTGAGTGGTCTCAGGTCTCATAAGTACCATCTCAGCAATCTCTCCAGCCTTGAGGTTGGTCAGGAAAGACTCAGCCGTCATTTCCTCGAGGTTCAGTATCTCTGCAACCTCTGGCAGCGGTTCCAAGTGGACACCAGATGCCTTGACGGGTAAACCTGTCTCGCCATCGAAGATGTGACAGCACTCTTCCACCGGCCTTGTCGGAGGAGCCCGGGCCCTGGACTCCGAGTCGCTTGAAGCGACGTCGATCGGAGCGAAGTTCGGATCCGACTTGAGGCGGCGGCGGCGTCGTTGACGACGGCGACCGTGACGTCGAGCTTTGCTGCCCACGTCTAGGGATGTCGGCGCTACGACATCCGAGGCACTCGTGGCCTCGTGTGGTACCGTGGTACCCACACAGGAAGTGTGTTCAATGCCTTCCTCTTCAGTTAAGGTCTGGGCGACCGCGTGTGGCACTGTGTTACCCACACAGGAAGCGTATCCGACGTCTTTCTCTTCAGCTAAGGTCTGGGCGACCGTGAGTGGAACTCTGTTACCCACTCTGAACACGCTGTTCTCAGTGTTCGTGACAGCTGCAGCTGCCTGCGGAACTAAGTTACCCGCCTGTGGACCTAAGTTACCCACTTGGCCAGCGCCTCTTCTGGGCGCTGCCACCATCAAAACATCCTCGGAGTCGTCATATACGTCGACGACTCCCAAGCATCTGCCGGATGCTTTGGTCCCCTCGCAATTCTTGCGGGCGCCCCGGGTCCTGACAGAGGTGGGAACATGACTCACTAATGCTCTGTCGGACTGCGCAGGGCGGCTGGCACCGATTGCCTTGCCTCGCCAGTTGATCCAGGGCTCGTGCTTCTCAAGCCAGGGCATGCCCAGGATCATATCATATGGATCCATATCTAAAACAGTGAACTGTTCGAGGCTGTCAAAGTCTTCAAACTTGACGGCCAGATCCACTTGGACGTTGGGGACAGTGACGACCTTCCCGTCGGCAAGTCGCACTGACACCGTCCCGTTGCCCTTGCTTTCTCTCAAAGCATCGGACAACTTGTTGCTGTTGCGAGCAACCGTCTGGCGGCGTGCGAAATTCTTCGACGCCCCAGAATCGATCAAGATTTTAAAGGGATGATCGTATCCCCGTACACATCCGTGTACTACGAGCAACCCGCCGCTGCTCTTCGCCGATTCGAGAGTGCGAAGACTCTCAGGGGCTAAGTCCCCGTGGTATGCGCCACCCGCGTACCCATCACGAAGACTTAGTTCTTCCCCAGTAGGGCGCCCCGCCCCTACTGGTTCCCTGCGTTCCCCTGTCCCCGGGATCCTGGCTTCTGCCAGCGACCCTTGAGGACGGGCTTGGGGAAGGACCGTCTGCGGAGTCTTTCCGCGGGACAGTCGCGCTTGAAGTGGCCCATCTTTTCGCAGCCGAAGCAGCGGATGTCACGCTGTTCGGCGGACCCGAGTTCCATGGGAACTGGTCCGTTGGGGCTTGTTCGACCGGGAGCCGACAAGGAACTCCCAGGCCATGCCGAGACCAGCGTACGCGCCTGGTGATGGCTGTACTCTTCTTGAAGAGCCACTTGAATCGCCTCTTCAAGGGTGCTTGACTGCACCCGGAACAGCTGAGTGCGTGCGGGGCCCACTCGAAGGCCGTCCATGAACACAGTCATCTTGATGTGTTCGTTGAGTGGGTTTCCCACTAGGGACACCGTGAGCTCCCGTATCTCTTGCACGTACTCGTGCAGTTCACGCCTCCCTTGTTTACACGAGAGGAAGCGCAAACGCTGGCGGTACTCGTAGTTTGCCGGGAGGAACGCGGCTCGGAGCTGTTCGCACAGCTGAGCCCAGGATGTGAAACATCCAGGGGATGTTGCTTCCCGAGTGTACACCCAACTCTTAGCACGGCCGCCAAGGTTGGAGAGTGCAAAGGCAACACGCAGTTGCTCGGTCGAGATCAGAGCCGCGTCCATCGCGAGCTCTACTTCTCGGACCCAGAAGTGAAGGTTCTCGCCTTCCTTCCCTTCATACGGCTTAACCTTCAGTCGTATTGGCTTCGGGTGAGGCGGATTTGCTTCCGCCGCCGGAGCCTGCAGGTTCTCTCGCACATGCGCGATGAGGCCCTGCTCGTACGCGTCGAATGCATTGACGCGCTCGAGCTGCTCAGCCGGTGTTGATACCACCAGGCTCTGCAGGGCCTCCATCCCGAAGATGCCTGCCATCTTCCGAACCGACTCGAACTGAGAGTCGTTCCTATCCATGGCAACGAGCTTCGGAGAGGTTCAGGTAATCTGCCCGCGGTGGCGTGGATGGATTACTAGTGCTACCAAGTGTGACGGGGTCACACAGCACCTTGCGCTAGAGGAAGTTATCTTCCGAGAGTATACAAACTCTCAGTGAACGCTCACAGGTCCCCTCTTTATTTAAAGAGAGCGAAGTGACCTAAATAAGGTAGATTGTAAACTGAGTATATTTGGGGTTACGTACCCCGTTACACTGGTTTTGCTCGCAATTAAAATGGAATTTTGTCGACAAAATTAAAATAAAATCAAATTATTTTGCGAACAAAATCCACGGGTTCACCCCGAACGTCGATGTGACGGGGTCACACAGCACCCTGCGCTAGAGGAAGTTATCTTCCGAGAGTATACAAACTCTCAGCGGCAGCTCACAGGTCTCCTCTTTATTTAAAGAGAGCGAAGTGACCTAAATAAGGTAGTGTAACTGTTAGACAGAGGTTATACTGTGAGAATGTAGAAGTGATATTTGCTCTGTTAACCATCTTCCTGTGGCAGCCACCCGTGCCACCACTCCTGTGTGTCCGTATAGTCGGCGGCCGAACCGGTCTTTTCTACCGCCTTGAACCGCAGCTGCTCCAGCCGCACGGTCCAAATCCAACACTCCTCCTCGGTCGTCGCACTCTCGGCAGAACTCGTCACTTCAGCTTGAAGATCTCCCGTAGTTCCGCGATCCTCGGCGCCGGTAACGCCTTCGTGAGAAGATCCGCCATCATCAGGCGTGACTCCACGTACTCGGGCTTCACTATCCCTTTCCTGGCAAAATCACAGATGAACTTCACGCGTATGTCCACGTGCTTCGCACTCGCCATGCTCTCCTCGGATTCTAGCTGCTTAATCGCCGCCTGGTTGTCCATCCTCATGGGCACTGGCTCCACTACCCGGAAACCCAGCTCACGCACCAGCTCCCGAAGTCCCAGCAGCTCGCGCCCCACCTGCGACGCTGACGTGAACTCGGCCTCCATCGTGGAGAGCGACACGCCGGTCTGCTTCTTGCAGATCCACTGCACCACAGCCCCGTCCATCGTCACGACTCCTCCAGTCACCGACTTCCTGTCGCTCTTGTCGGCGGCGAAGTCTGCGTCGCTCCAGCTCTCCAAAGCCATCACGTCGTCCTTCCTCGTCGGCGCCTGCATGATCAGCTTGACGCTCTTCGTCCCCTTCAAGTACCTTGCGACCCTCTTGGCCAGCTTCCAGTCACTCGTGGTCGGCTGGTGTGTCCTCCTCGTGGCCTTATGCACAGCGAAACTAATGTCGGGTCTCGTGCACCGTGCTATCCAAAGCAAACTTCCCACGAGCGACTGGAAACGGCGGATCGTTGGCTCACCCGGCGCACCCACCTTGGTCAACAGCTGCGGCTCGTCTACCTCCGCCTCGTTGTGCTCCTCACCAACAGGAACCCGCACACTGTTCGCGTTTGCCAGCCCATGCTGCTCCAGCAGCTCCTCGATCGTCGCCTGCTGGTCCAGCGAGTACCCCTCGCTGCTGTCCAGCTCCACGCGCATCCCCAAGAATTTTCTCACCTCGCCCAAGTCTTCCACGGACAACACGCTCATGGAGCAGAAGAAATCGTCCACCAGACTCGGCTTGGACGCGGTGACCAGGAGATCATCCACGTACACGCCCACGAGCGTCATCTCACCGTCCTCTCGCTTGTAGTATAGGCACATGTCCGTCACGCACCGTGTGAACCCCGCCTCCTCCAGCTTCGCGTGCAGGAGTTGACTCCACAGCCTGCCTGCTTGGCGTAGGCCGTACAGCGACTTCCTCAAGCGCAGCGCTAGCTTACCTTTGACGCTCACTCCGAGCCTGCGCATCACCTCATCTCCGATCACCATTCCCTGTGGGATCTCCAGGTAGATCTCGAGATGCTGCTCCTTGTCGGCCTTCACGTACGCGTTGGGGATGTCCCCGTGCCTCGCCGGCACGCCCCAGCGACGAGCAAAAACCAGGATGACCTTCACCGTGCTCAGCTCCATGACCGCCGCGAACGTGAGCCCGAAGTCCACGCCAAAGATCTGCTCGTTGCCGCACGCAACGAGCCTGGCCTTGAACCTTTCTATGGCTCCGTCTGCATCAGTCTTGGTCTTGAATACCCACTTAGTGTGCAGTACGTGGCTGCCGATCGGTGGCACCACCACGACCCACACACCGTTCTCCTCCAGCGCTTTGAGCTCCTCCGTGATGGCAACCAGCCATTTCCTCCAGAGCTTGCTCCTCTTTGCCTGCCGGTAGTTCTTCGGGTCGGGCTCCCGCACGCTGTTCACCACGTCCGCGGTCTGTTCCACCCGATCCTCATCAGCGCCTCCACTCGCCACCGCCTCAGCGGGCTTCCGCGTAGCCCGAGCGCGTCTGATGCCTATCCCGCGTCCAGCGAGATTTCTTCCCGCGACGCTTCGCCTTTTCCTTCGTCTTTGTCCTCGAAGTGTCTGTCTCCAAAGCGCCCGTGCCCTCCGACTCCTCGGAGTCCTCCAGGTGCACGCGCTTCAATTGCTCGTTCTGCACGTCCGACAACGTCTCGACGTTGCTCACATGCTGCGTCACTACGACTACCTTATCCTTCGGGAGATACACCCGGTAGCCTTTAATCTCGTCGTTCTTTCCCACGATCATGCCCGCCTTGCCCCTCTCACCCAGGGACTTGTTCTTTGCGTCCACGTGCACCGTACAGGGCGACCCGAAAACCACGATGTCACTCAAATCCGGTGTGTTCTTCGTGAGCATCTGCAGTGGCGACTTCGATCCCGGGTTAGCCTTCGTCGGGCTCCTGTTTAGGATATAGGCTGCATATTCCGCAGCATCCCCCCAGAAACTAAGCGGAAGGCCACAGGCGAACACCATGCTCCGCACCATATTCATAACGGTGCGGTGCATTCGTTCCGCCTTGCCGTTACTAGCCTAGTTTCGCGGCTCGCTAATCTGCCGCCTGATTCCGGTATCCTTGCAGAAGAGATCCAGGGTCTTGTATTCCCCACCTCCGTCCGTCCTCAACACGTGTATACGGCAGCTGAACTGCCGCTCAAAGTACGCCATGAAATGCTTAAACTTCTGTGCCGCGACGTCCTTAGTCTTCGCCAAGAAGACCCTGCATAGCTGGTGCGATGATCAACAAAGTTGACCATGTATCGGTTCCCTAGTCGATCTCTCGGAGTCATCGGCCCCTTCAGGTCGGAGCAGATGACTCCTCCGATCACGTCAATGGGCGAGTTTGCCCCGGTGTCCTTGCGCGACTGCTTCTTCTTGGTCTGTTTGCCCTGGGCACAAGCCAAGCAGTTCGCCCTCACCTCGTCCGTGAGTGCAATCCCGGATGCCGGGTCCTTGGCCATCTTAATGATCGTGTCGTAGTTCAGATGCCCTAGCCTACGGTGGAAATGCATGAGCAGCCCGGTCTGCACGTCCCTGCCGACATCCGCCTCACCTTCCGCCAACACCGACATCAACACGTTGCCCTTCCGCCCCGTGCCTCTGGACTCCATTGCACGCACGGTGAGAACGTTGTTTGTCTTCTCGACGTCAAACACCGCCGGCCCGCCGTTGATGCCGTCTACCACGCGGTGCTTCCCTCGGTACGCGAGTCCGTACCCCTTCGCCTCCAACAACCCGTACGATATGATGTTCCTTTCCAAGTTTTCCGCGTACTGCACGTTCAGCAGCCGCACTTTGGTCATCTTCCCCATCGCCGTGGTTACGAGCATTACGCTCCCGCGCTTAGTTACTTTTAGCGCTCCTCCGTCCGCTGCCACGCATTGACTTTCGTAGTCTTCCGCGTCTTCCAGCAGCTCCGGATCATTCACCAGATGACGGCTGGATCCACTGTCCAGGATCCAGTCCTCCGTCTCTGTGGCCGACTCCTCGACCGTGAGCACGAAGTCAGCGTCCGTGCCTTCGCCCCACCTCTTCTTCTTGTTCGGACAGGCCGCCCGCAAGTGGCCAGATTTACCACACTTGTAGCACTTGCGGCCGTCCTTCTCGTCCTCGTGCACATCGTTGACCACGTCTCGCCCCAGTTGCTTGCCTCGCAGCTCGATCTCCGTCGACTGGGCGAAGTGCGCCAGCTCTTCCGCTTGGCGCAGGTAGTCCGTGCGTGCCAAGTTCAGCCTGGACAGCATCGACACTCGCATGTTCGGATCCGCGTAGTGCACGATGTTGTCAAGGACCAGGTTGTCCGCACCGCCGCACGCCTCGCTAACTGCCACGAGGTATAGGTAGTGCTCTGTCCAGCTTCTCTTGGAGCTCTTCGGTGCCGTGAACATCTTCATGCTCTGCGCGGGTGTGATCTTCGTGGCGAAGGTGTGCAGTGTGGTGTTGGAAATCCCACGTGAACTCTAGCTACAGATGTAGTTAGGATGTTCCCACAACAATACGTCTACTAGGATAGTAAACGATCGTTCGGGCGGACCTGAAGACCCCAGTTCTGCCCTTGCACCGGGACAAACTGGACCTTGTAAACTACTTATATAGGCCAACCAGTAAAATAAGAACACGCTACTAGCACGAGCAAAGCTAGCAGGTGTTTTGAATCCTCGTGGTCCCAACAGCGGAAGAGTACCAGGCACGGGTAAGCCTTTTACGAGGTCACCGAGTGTTCAACACTCGGCTGGAAGAAATAAAAGGGAGGCAATTTAAGCACTCCCAGTCGTGCAAATAGGCAACAATAAGCCGTCACGTAAAACCTCCCGATAATAATCGGCCAATACACAAAGTCTCTTGGCCTTGCCGGATGAACCCTCGCTACAGAGCTTCGAGTTCACCGACAGGCATAACACACTCAAACAAGCTTGACCTGACGCTTACCTTTGAAGCCGGACGTTCGCTCTGTGTGCTTTGTAGAGGATAATCTGGTTCTGTATTTTA